CTGTCCCCCTCCCTCTCACTGTCCCCCTCCCTCTCACTGTCCCTCCCTCCCTCTCCCCGTCCCCCCCATAAGGAACAGAGCACTAGGGAGGAAGAAGAGATCCTGGGGAGGCTGCCCTGGCTCCGCCTGCTGGAGCATCAGCAGGAGCCTCGGCCACCGCACCCGTGTGGCCATCCGTCCACTCGGGGCACCTCTGCTGGCCTGCATCCAGCTAAGGCCGGCGGCTGCTCTGGTACAAAGCAGAGCGTGGGACAGTGGGGTCGGGCAGCCTCCGGCTGCAGCAGCCCCGACGCTCACCCCGCCAGCTGCACTCCCCACCCGAGACCAGGGATGGGAGCACCCGCCACCGTGGGCTGCAGGAAGAGGCCTGGCACCTGTCACAGCACCCTGTGTCGGGGTCACTCCCAGCACTGCTGGCACTAGCTCGCCACCTGATCCCCGTCCGGAGTGTCTGGCCACACCTGGTGAGAATACCCCGCAGAGTGACTGCATGGGTGGGGTGGGGTGACACCCTGGACACCTGTCCCAAATGCCAGGTACTCAAAGCCTAAAAATCATGAGGTGGTGGCGGCAGGCAGGGGACGTGGGGTCCTGGGCACACAGTGAGTGCTCTGGCACGACCTTACCACTGAACACACGGGAGAAAGGCCAGTCTCGGGTTCGTGGAGTAAGAAGTGAGCAGCGCTGACCCTGACGTGTGACCACGGACTCCCAGACCACGACTCGGCTCTGGGAGAGGCACCACCACACGCCAACCGGTGGCTGCAAGTGCCACCTGCGGTGGCCTGAGGGCATCCTCCGGGGGCCTGTGTGGGGAGCTTGGGGCTCAGTGAGTGCTGGGGGCTACGAGGTGGGCTCAGGAGGAAGTAACCAGGTCACGAGGGTGCTCTCCCCAGAAGGAACCGAAGCAGCTCTGGCAGAACTCCCGTCAGTCCTAGCAAAGGGGTCACTGCCCACGAGCAGGCCAGAGCCCTAACTCTTGGGCCTCCTGTCCTCCCACATGCGCCCTTCCTCTCACCGCTGCCACGAGGCCTTCAGAGCCACGCCAATGCAGGCGCTTCACCCTTGAACCGCCAAAACTGAGCTAGGCTGAGCTAGGAGCTGAATGGCGCCCACCCATGATCCCAGCTACTCGGAGCTGAGGCAAGAGGACTTCGAGTTCACAGCCAGCCTYGGCAATTTAGTGAGATCTCAAAAAAGTAAACAGAAACAAGTAAACAAACCATGAGCTAAATAAACTTTTTTAAGACAAAATCCCCAGTCTCGGGTATTTCATGACAGCAACTGAAACCCAGCTGACAGACGGACCCTCAAGACCAGAGGAGGGCACTGGCTCTGCCAGAACACCCTGCCCGTCAAGCACAGGCAGGAGGTCTCAACCCTGATGGGCTCAGAGTGGCACTGAGATGCCCGGGAAAGGGGTATTTGAGCAGCCTCGGGCAAGGTCTGCATTTAGACTTCAGTTCAAAAGAACTTGCACTGTTCTCCCTGGGGGTCTGCGGCTAAGGGGCTTTCAGTGCTCACCTCTGAGGAGCAAAATCTTCAGGAAGAATCTGCCGGCCACAGCCACCCCGCAGATGTGTGTGCAGCTGGCCGAGCTGGGGCTCTCCCTGCACCAGGAGGGAGTCCTCTCTCCCCAGCCTGGGTGTGTCCCCAGTGGCACTGGGAGAAGCAGCTGGCAGACACAGGCCCAGCTCCCCACGAACCCTTCCCTAGGAACAGGCCCCATGACAGGAGCACTGAAGAGCAGCAGCCACACCTCAGCCTGTCAGCCTCCCCAGAAAGGAAGCGCTACAACGCTGGGCCAGGCTGAATGGTAGGACACGGAGTGTCCACACCGACTCGGACACCGCGGGGGTGACGGGATGAACGCCTGCCACTCACACAGGGCCCAAGAGCCAGACGCTGCAGGGGTTCAGAGGCAGGAAGCCAGGGTGAGGAAGGCCAGATGGTGCTCTCTCTGGAAACACTGGGCAGTGACACCGAGGTCACATGCAGAAGCTGGCAAGCTGTGAGCCAGGATCTGTAGATCTGCTGTACCCAAGTTACTCCTCAGGAAAGGCACTCGGAACAGTGGACATTACCTGAGTGGCTGACGGCTGCCAGGCAGGCCCTGCAGCACCCTGCACGGAGATGAGGCCACACACCATGCCACAGGGGTGACGGGGCCACGACCCGGGCCTGAGCAATCCGTGTCCTGTGTCCAGGCCAGTAGTGGGGTGGCGCTTGGTCCTCGCTGCCCACCACCACCCCATCCTCACCCCAAGAGGGAGGGCGCTTCAGACTCCTCGGCTCAGCTAGACCCAGCGGCCGGCCTGCTCACCAGGACTCGGGAGGTGTGCGGGATTCCGTGAGGGGACCTGAGGGCAGCCCCAGCAGCAGCAGACGCACCACGGGCTCCTCCCTGCCAGCCAAGCGAGCCTCAAAGGCCATCTGGACCACGGGCCTCAGTGCCCAGGGGCACGTGCGCTGAGGACCCGGGGCTGCGGTGCTGATGCACGGTACGCTCCCCTCCCACGCCCACTGTGCTCTCCCACGGTTCTGTTCACAAGCAGCTCCTGATCCACCTGGAACCTTCCCGTAAGTAGGCGGTAAGGCCTGGTCTGGCCCAGTGCCCTGGGATTCCAGACCTGGCCCTCGTCACTGTCCCTCACGCTGGTTCAGCCCTCAGACTTGGCTCTCCTCTCTTGGCGCCCAGTGGCCTGCCCTCCTCCCTGGCCCCAGCCTACTGCCCCTCACCCTAGACCTGTCTATGGGTCCTGTCAGCTGTTGTCACGAGTAGGCCCTACAGCCTGGCCCTGTCTGTCCACTGCACCGACATCATGCCCAGCCTTGGCTCAGGCTKCGGCCCACACCTGCACCCTGTCCTTCCTCTGCTCTCCCAGGTGACGGTGTCTCCTGCCTGTCCTGCCCCAGACAAGGGACATCCCCCTGCACAGTCCTTCTCCACCCCTTCCTCTCCTCCTGCCTCTCCTGACACCTGGACTGGAGTACAGCATATGACAGACACCCCTGACCCAGGCTCCACACAGGCCATCAGCCGCCCTCCTCCATGCCTGTCACCACCACGGCCAAGTGCCCAGGCCCCAGTCACCAAGCCACACCCTCCGCACACACCACTTCCTGGTTCCCAACTGCACCGCTAACCTTGCTCTCCCCTGGCTTCACGAGGCTGCTCCTTCCAGAACTGTCCAGCTCCTGACCACACCTTCTCTGCACACACCAGGGTCACAAGTAGGCCCTACAGCAGTACATACTACTGCCTCACAAACCTGTCCCACTCAGATCCTACCACTGGCTCACAACTCTGCAGCGTGGGCTCACAACTCTGCAGCGTGGGGCCTTCTGCTGGTCTCTGCAGCCCCTGGCTGGGGTGCAGTTGTCCAGCAGGGAATGAGGGCTGTCAGCCTGGTGCCCTGCTCTGCGGCCTTCCCAGGACAGGCTGGTGGCCCTCTGTAGGGGCAGACCCCAGCACCCAGACACCGACCCCACTTCTGCAGCAGCCTGGTTCTTGACGCCCAATGACCCCAAATTCATAGGGCCCAGGCCAGAGTCACTGGGGAAAAGGACAGGTGAGGGCAGGGGCTCTGGGAGGCAGACGGACACATCACTGGTCCCGCCAATTCTCAATCTCTGCCCAACCTCTTCCCAAGCCAAGAAGCCACCTGCAGTGCCATCTAGTGGGGTCCCACAATCCTCCAAACTCAACACAGCCCAAAGTGACAGCCTCACCTTCACCCAGGGCCCCTCCTCCTCCTCAGTGTTTCCTTCCAGAACTGCCAGGTCGGGTCCAGTTCCACACAGGCCTCTCTAGTCCAGCCTCCTCCTGCTCCAATCCCCACCACTAACCATGGGGACCCTTCTGAACACAACAGGAAACGCACCCCTCTGCTCAGCCTGGTCGCCTGGCCCTGCGCACCCCGCCCAGATTCTCCGCCAGCCCCAGGGGCAGCCGCGTCCACTGGAACACACTGGGCTGTGGGGCAGAGGTCAGGAGCACACAGGTCAGGCCGGGCAGCACAGCCCACCCTCATATAGCCCCTCGCCCCAGGAGCCCAGGGTGAAAGGATGAGAGCCGTCCACCTGGGAGGGCCACGCGCTGGCTCCAGATACCTTAGAGAGCTGCCATGTCAGATGACGCGAAGACCCACAGAACCCCTCCCCACCTCCAACTGTAACAGACACTGGGGAAACTGCAGGGGACCAGGAGGGTCTGGGAGGGAGGGGCAGAAGAGCAGCGCCTGTCAGAGGTGAGCGTGTGGCACGTGAGTATCTGAAGAACGTTCTGGAGGGGCTAGAGCCACATAAAGACCTCAGAATGGCAGCTGGCGGAACAGGTTGGAAGAACAGCAAGGAGTCGGTGTAGTTAGACATGCAGGCAGGGGCCTGGCGAGCATCCAAGGGGACAGAGCTGAGGGACATGACGCTGGCCGTGRCAGGCTGGGGAGAGCTGGCCGCATGAGGGCAACGGTCCGAAAGAAACAGACGCAGGGAGACGGACCTGGAGGGCGGCCCGGTGCAGACTCCTATCCCACAGGTAGCCAGGGCCAGCTCCGCACACCCCACAGCCCCCGCGGGCTGCGGCCCCCCCCCAGCACTCACCCGGTGCATGTCTTCGTACTTGAGGAAGAGCACGTTGGCGTCCATGCGGTGCTCCCAGAACTCCTGCACGTGCTCAAACCAGGAGCCGTAGCCCACTGTGGACACAGGACATGTGAGCTCAGCTGGAGGGGATGCAGGCCACGCCCCCCACACCACACAGACTAGCAAGGGCAGAGCAAACTCTAGGGGTGACAGTCACCCGCGGGCAAGCCACCAGGAGCCCCTGGGCCCCATGTTCTAGGCAGGCTTCTCCTGCCACACCTGTGCCTGCGCTGCCTCTGYAGGCTGGGGACCTGGCTGGGAGTGGGGACTTGGGACAGGGACTCCAGCCTGGGAGCCTCGGCAGGAACCCTGACCCCACCAAACACATGTCAGAAAGAGGACGATGCCAGGAAAGGAAAGAGAGCCGGTCAGAGTCGCTGGTAGGGTAGAGCAGAGAGGGCTCAGACACAGGACACAGACCATGCCGCAGGCTGAGTGCGAGGGAACACAGGAGTCCTCAAGGGGTCCTCGAGGACTGAAGAGGCAGAAGCCCCAGCCAGCCCACACCGTGGTTCCGCTCAGGGGCCGAGCACTTCTGGGCTGGGCAGGGCAGGGCAGGGCACCAGAGGGGTGAGGGATGCACCACTGTGCACCAGCCACGGTACATCCCCGTGTGCACAGAACCTGAACGCTGCCCCACCCGTCCCTCCCGGGGTTTCTGCAGTACACTTCCAAGGGCACTGATGTCGGAGCTCAGCCTGGGAGCCTCGGCAGGAACCCTGACCCCACCAAGCAGCAGGAAGCAGCTGCAGAGGGAGGGTCTGTAGAGATCCCTCCTAGCTGACCCCGGCCTCCAGGCCACCTGYGGTGGGGCAGCTGCCCCGGGCCCAGCACACGCTGGCAGACACACAGGGCCCACCGCTGCTCCTTCTACAGAAAAAGAGGTGAGTCCTGGAAAAGGGCAGTGACATCACTGTCACAGGAGACAGGATGCAGGAACCTGGTCACCTAATCTAGGCCACTAGCTGGAACTGAGTCAAGGCTGAGCAGGTGCTGGGTGGAAGGAACGGCCAAATGACTGTGAAAAGGGCAGATGGAGGAGACCCTCTTCTGTCCAGGAGAGAAGGTGTGTGAACTCTGAAGAGCCCACATCCGCTGCACAGAAGCCCCGGAGAGGCCAGCACAGTTGACTGGGACCGGCAGCCACGGGGCAGCCGAGAGCTCGTCCTGCTACTCCACGCTGCTCCAGGAGAGGGAGCTCCGCCACACAGGGCCTCCCAGCTCCCCTCCCTCTGCAGTGCAGAGAGCCAAGACTGGCGGGAAGTCACCATGCACCACTGTCTCCACCCAGGAAAATGTCCCCACTGCCCCTCAGTGACCCTGCCAGCGTCTCCACATTGCACCTCACAGTGACCCATCCAGAGCATTCTCTACACTGCATGTGTCATGGTGGCCGTGTCCTGTGTCCCCAAGCAGGTGTCCCTGTCCAGCATGTTCCCCAGAATGTCAGTGACCCGGTCCACAGTGTCCCCCAGAACATGTGTCACGGCAACTGCAACCACAGATCCCCGCCTTGTGAAACAGGGAGCCCATCAACAGAGCCTCCACACTGCACACCCCCCGGCCGGGACCCTCACCCCTGGAATCTCAGGCCACAAATCCCTCGTGTGGGGCCTTTCTCAGGGACTGTCTTACCCTCACACGATGCTTGACCTCTGCCATCTGTCTACCAGGGAATGGTGTCATTTTAATGCCCCGCACATGTGTTTCCAGCTTGTTTAGAGCCCAGGGGAAACCTGTGTGCCCTTGTCTGCGTACCAGCTGGGGATCCGAGTCACTCGATGGCGTGCAGCACCAAGCGTGGCCTCGAGCTGGGTGCGTGGGGCAGCCACCTGATATGGGAGGTCTGCATCGGGACAGCCTCTGCCTGCTCTGCTGGGCAGTGGCCTGAACTTGGCAGGCTGTCACTGGGGCACTGTCCCCAGGCTTCTACAGGACAGGGCTACGTGCTGAGACCAAAGCGCGTGTTGCTGGGGTGGCCACTCAGCGAGCAGCTACTCAGATGCTGGGCAGGCTGGGCCCAGGAAAGCTAAAGGAGGCCCTGTGGCATGCTCAGGTGGCCTTGGGGCGCAGGGGCTGCCACCTCCTACCCTGTCGGGCAGGGACCCTGCTACACAGGSGTAGTTGAAGCAAAGATTCATTGGGAAGAAACAAAACCACTCTACACTTTCAGGCTCCAGCTGCTGTATGCTGAGCAGCAGGCTCAGAGGGACTCGCCCTCGGCCAGGCCTGGGGACGATCCAGGCCTGCTGCCCCAGGCTCCAGGCCCGCTGGGCTCCGTGTTCCTGGATTCTGTCACATGCTTCATCCTGATCTCGTCAGAACCCCCACATGGGGCTCCCAGGTACTTCTGCTGGAAACAAAGAGAGAGGGTGCTCTCTGCCTGGGGTCCAGCACCCCAGTGTGAGTGAATCCAGTGGGAGCTGGCCCGGCTCCAGACTTCCAGGTACACAGTCCCAGGTGGCCACCTGCTGGCCCCCAACACCCAAAGAAGCTGCCCGTGCTATGGAGGCCTGGGCAGGAGGGAGCGCATCTGTACCAGGAGCTGCTGCTACCACCCCAGGGGACAGGTGGCCCGACAGCAAAGGGAAGCGAGGTCAGGGAGGGGCAGAGGAAGACAGTGAAGACAGGGCTGCTTCCTCCCTGTGCTCAGCCGTGGTGGGGTCACAGCCCCACTCCCCTAGCCCTGCACACCTGCTCCCTGGGGACACCAGCTTTCCACACAGGGCACTGTCCCACCACGGGGCCTACTCCATCACCTGCCTGTCCCTGAGGTCCAGCCGAAGGCCACATGAAGGTCACATCTAGCTGCAGCCTTCTCCAGGGCCCACGGCCAGCAGCAGGGACACTGTAGCCTCTGGGTTTGCTGTTTCTGTTCCCGCCCGTCTGGTTCCCACGCAGGAAGAAGGGGTTTTGAGCTGGGGCTCCCGGAAGCGCCAACAGGGTGGTGGGGAGCAGGGCTCTAGTCCCAGGACCCGCTGCCACATCCCAGCCCCGGCATCTCAGCAGGCGGCCGGCGGCCCACCCGGCAGCTCCACCACCATCGGGAGACAGGCCACCTAAGGTTACCAGGGAGCTGTGAGCACTGGCACCCTCCAGGGTGACCGACCCCAGGCACTGCACCCCGATGGGGACACGTACGCTTGTCGTTCATGAACCTCCGGCAGAACTCCTGGAAAGTGCCCCGGTAGCTCATGGTCCGCAGCGAGCGGTGGAACTGGTAGTAAGACACCACCAGATCCTTGGGGTTCCGAGCCATGTAGATGACCTGTGGGCAGAGGAACATGGTGAGCGGAGGCCCCTCCCAGGCCGACAGCACGTTCTGAACCGACACCACTCCGCCGGCCAGGGTGGGGTCCTGCCCGCGAAGTGCTTGCCGGGTAAGTACCGAGCACCGAGCACCGGCTGCCCTTTTGTCCTCCAGACCACTTTAAAACAGAGGACAGGAAAGTTACAATGTGAGGCTGGCCTCGGAATGCAGTGCGCTAGGGAGACTGGAGGCAGCCGCCATGGGACACGCACTGCTCCGCTGTGAAGGCAGAGCCAGCTAAAACGGGTGAAGGGCTGTGTCCCCGGATGCAGGTGGCTGAGGTTCCGAGGGGAGCCCAGGCCAGTGGGTGGCGTGGCTATGGCATGACCCACAAGGAGGGCATGGCGGGTTACCTTGGAGTCACCGTTGTGGAGGTCGGAGGGCAGGAAGCGGTAGGGGAGGTGGCTCTTAATGAGGCGTGGAGATGTCAGTTCCTGCGGGCAGAGGAGAGGTTCTGGGGGAGGCACAGCTGTCGTTTGTCTTTTTTAAGGGCCCTTCCAAGGGGACCAGGAGGAAGGGGTCTCCAACAGAGCAGGCCCCACCACATCACCTGGCCAACTTCCCTCCCAGACATGGCCCCCATCAGGCTGGACCCTGCGGGCATAGATGAGGGCCCCCACCTCAGCCTGATGACTTCTCACAGCCACAGAGGTCACGCAGAGACCCAGGAGCGGCCCACCCAGCCCGGAGGGGCCACCGACACCCCACCAAGGAAGGGCATAGGACAGGCCAACAGGGCCAGCGCCAGCTCAGGCAGCAGCTCCCGAGACCGGAGCCTCCAGCCAACAGCCCGGCGAGGCCACCTGCCCCCAGCCCTTCTCCACACAGTGGGCAGGTCAATCCTGGAAGCATCTCCAGCTCCCGTGCCCATGCAGGGACCCCTTCCCTGTCACCCCAGGAACAAGACCAACCCCCTACAGGCTCTCAGACCTGGGATCTGGCACCCACAGCCCCCCAGCCTCTCCCTGCTCAGGAGCCAGGCTCCTGGGGCCATGGGGTCTCTGTGCCCCTGGTCCCTCTGCTCCTCTCTTTCTGGACCATTCTAAGCAGCCCCCAAGGAGACGCCAGGCCTGTCCCTTCCTGACCCACTGCCCTCTAGTGCTGATGACCATGGTAACTACTAAGACTTCCTGTCCCTTCCTGCATGAGGCCGTGAGCTGATCCAGCCAGCTCCCAGCCACAGCCCAGTGCCGGGCAGGGCTGGCTCCCAGCACGGCCACCTCCCAGCACAGCCGCCTCCCAGCACAGACGCACTGCGCGCCTCCTGGACCAGTCAGGGAGAAGCCCACGCGGCCAGGCCCACGCCACAGGGCACAGAGGGATCTGCGCGCAGTGGGGTTTCTCTGAGAGCTGTGTTCCACCCAGCAGGGGGCAGAAGGTCCACCCAGCAGGGGGCAGAAGGTCCACCCAGCAGGGGGCAGAAGGTCCACCCAGCAGGGGGCGGGCAGGCGAGACCAAAGCTGCTGCTGTAGTGCTCAGGGGATGGCGCCGGAATTCAAAGGTGGCTGAGAGGTGGCGTGAGGAAGACCCAGACCCGTGGGAGGACAGAGGCACAGGGACTGGAAATGCATACACAGACACACTACAGACGTGTACACAGTCGGACATACACCTCAGGTTCCCCCCCAGAAGCACTGGGGGTTGAACCCAGGGGCCGACTACACCAATTTCATACCCAGTCCTTTATTTCTTGTTTTTTATTTTGAGACAGGGTCTCACTAAGCTGCTGAGGCTGGCCTCCTCGTGCCTCAGCCTCCCAAGTCACTGGGACTCCAGGCTTGTGTTGCCACCCGCTGGCTTATTTCATTTTCAAAACAACACATTTGATGCAAACCCATCCTCCTGGCTCCCTTCACAGACGGGGCAGTCGGGGGAGGCCAGAGCCTGCTTTCCGCTGGTGGCCCCATATCCACACCCTCCCTGCCCCCCTTGGCATCTGCTTCCGTCTCTCTCGCGCACTCCCTGACCTCAGGGGACAGACACCCTGCTCCGGTGCAGGGTCACAGTAATGGGCTCAGACCTATGGGTTCTCTCCTGGCCATCTGGGGCCACCTGGGCTCTCTCCTCTCCTCCATCCAGAGCCCTCTGAACCCCCTCAGCATCCACTGCCACCAAGCAGGTGTGACTGCAAAGCACTGGACGTGGTCGCGAGGGGCTGGGGCCGCCAGCGCAGGCGGTACCTTGATGATGTCCAGGCCTGGCTGGGGGTACTCCAGGACCGGGAGCTGCTCGTCGATGTTCATCAGGCCGATCTCATCGGGGTCAGCCCCTTGGCTCACCAGGTAGACAACCTCCTGCAGCAGGCTCGTGCCTGGGGAGAGAGGCCAGAGGGGCACTCAGGCAAGTCCGGGCCAGCCCCGCAGGCGGGCAGCCCCTCGGCCCAGGGAGCGAGCTGAGTCTGAGGGGGCAGCACTCCAGCCCGAGCCCCACGGCTGCGGGGGACCKGGGCGTCGCCGCTCCCTTGGAGTTCAGAGGGGAAGGGTGCTCCTGCCTCTGGATGCGGAGCCTCCAGGGTGGACTCTCAGCTGATGCAGGAGTGCCCAGGGTCGGGGAGCACTGCCAGCCAGGGTCTTCACACCCGCCGCGTGGCCACCATGACCTGGCGCCCATGGGCCACAGACTGCTGACGGACTCCCCTCACAAAGCAGCGACCCAGCATGGACAGTCCCCTGCTGGATCTGGGGACCTTCCCTCTGGGATGAACAGCACACCTCAGGTTCAGTGTCCCCGACCTAGAACCTCTCCAGCTTCCCGGTGTCCACTACCCAGGCCAGGGACCTCCTTTGCCAAGGTCCCCAGGGGCCTGGCTCCTCCACCCTGACGGGCCCCCAAGCTCCCCACCCTGGGGCCCTGGCCTCTGGCTGCTCCACTCCTGCCTCAGGCACCTCTGGGAGTGCGGCCGCAGGGACCCCGCACAGCCGCACCTACAGGCCACGCAGGCCCCCCCATGGAGCCCGGGGCAGCAGGTCCCCATGTAACCCACTTCTGGACCAGCTACGCCCACAGGCCACCGAGCAGCTCAGGGCTGGGTAGAGCAGGAAGAGGTGGAGGCCAGCCTGCCCACGTGGTGGATGAGCCCCTACTCTGGGCACAGTCCTGCTCTGGCCTCCAGGGACGGGGGACACCCAGGAGCCAGCAGAGGGCCCAGAGCCTGCCAGGGAGGAGACCGCATGTTTTCTCCAGCCTGTGTCCTCACTCCTGGCACCCTGGTCCCGTGGGCCAGGCCACCCACTGCCACCACCCCCAGGACCCGCGGAACAGATGGAGCTAGCTCAGCACTCGGTCCCTTCACTCTGGGGGTCTCAGTGCTGTCCCTTGTGCCTCCCCACCTCTGGCCCAGACCATGGCCCTAGGCACYCTCCACGATGGCCTTACCCCACCCCACTCCTGCAGGCCAGTCTCGRGCGGACCCTGCTTCCTAGAGCAGCACCAGGTGCCTGGCCACAGCCCACACTGCCCACCTCAGCAAATGGCCACCCGGTGGCAACGCTGGCAGTGCTGCTACCCACCTGCCTCTGGCCTCAACCAAGTCCACTGGGGCTGAGTTGACCCCTCCTCTCCCATGTGAACTGCTTCCTGCATGAGCCACGTGGCTCCATACCGCTGCCAGTGCGCCCTCCTTCACGCCTGCCTTCAGCACAGCAACAGACCCATGGAAGTGAGGGCGCCTGCCAGGCTGTGAGCCCTGGAGACTGCACACTCCCCGAGCCAAGGTCCCGAGCTGCAAGCCTGTCTCTGCCCAAGCCCCATCCTCCTGTGGGGCTGTCTGCGTTTGGTGGTACCTGCCCGAGCCCAGTCAGCACCTCTGCCCCCTCTACGTGTCTACTGAAATGTCACCTCCCAGCAAGGGCTCCCCGACCCATCCTGCACCCCATCACAACAGCTGCAAATTCCTTCCTGTTCCCCACCCCGCCCCACAAAGGGAGGGGCCTCTGTCCAGCTCCTGGCTGCAGCAAGAGAGGTGGGACCAGGCAGGGTGGGACACGGGTCAAGTGCAGGGTACAGGCCCTGGCCTCCTGAGGACACAAAGCCAGCTGACCTGACAAAAATGACCAGAGAAAAGGAGGACTGGAGCCCRGGGGTGTCCACTGACTGATCACCTGCCCACCCCAGGTGTGTGCCTAAGCACCTGCACCCGGGGCCAGGCCCAGAGCCCAGGCGAGCCCTGCRGGGCCTGCCCAGGGCCACGCCGCAGTCCCCGCACTGCCCTCACCACCCCAGTCCCTCACCCAGCCGCAGCCGTGGGGGCTGCACAGGCTGCCCACCCCTGACCACGGTCCCTCCGGGGCCTGGGAGGCCACCGGCGCCCGGGGAGGCCTCTGAGCTCCAGCAGCCCAAGGCCCTCAGCAGGCTGCCCTCTGCCTGGCCACAGGGACTGGACCCGTGGGTCCCTGTCCTCAAGAAGGCCTCCCAGGTCTCACCAGGGGCCTGCCCTGTCCCAGAGCCCAGCACTTCCTGTCCTACCTGTCCCACGGGGTCTGACGGGGGCCCTCCAGGAGGACAACTCAATCCACTGGACAGTCCCAGGGAGARCCACAGGCAGCTTCGGGACCAGGACAGTGGGGCAGAGGAGCGGTGGCTGCAGCCACGTGGGAACAGCTGAGGCCGACCAAACCAACGCACAGGAGGGAGCCGCAAGGGAGCTGGGCATGTGAGCAGGACCCGGTGACCTGTGTGTATGTGTGTGTGTGKGKGGGGGGGTGACAGGCAGGGCTAGTCAGTGACAGAAGCCACGCACTCCCCTGGGGGTTGGCCAGGAATTGTTGGCCAGGCTGAAGTCACTCTGAGGGTGACCAGGTGGACACTCCCGGGGTGGCAGGCAGCACATTCTGACCCTGGGACCTGGCAGACCACAGGGAGTCCCTGGGATTCAGGGGCAGAAGCTCCCAGGCCCAGGGCGGGCAGCCTGTCAGCAGAGCCCAGCAGAACCTCCCGGGAAGGACGCTTGTCCTGGGGTCAGACCATCAGAGCAGGGACCTGGGGCCGGAGCCTGACCGGCACCCGCCTCTTCCCCAGGTGTCAGCGGGGGCTGTGAGCCGCTCTCTGCAGGAGGCCCGGTGTCCGAGGCCCCCACTCCTCAGGGCCACCAAGGCCCAGGTGAGCCTGTCCTTAGGGTCAACTTCTCCAGGGAGGACGCCGTCAACCCCAGGGTGGGCGCACCTGGGAGCAGGAGAGGAGGGCCGGGCCCCACCGCGCTCACAGGTCGCCCGCACCCCGCCCTCACCTGTGCTCCAGGTGCCCATGCCCACAGCCTCTGTACCTGGTCCCCAGAAGAGGAACCTCCCCCCCGACCGGCAGGCACCCCTCATGGCTACCACCCACCTGAATCCCAGAGCTCTGCGGTCAGAACTGGTCCCTGCTCTGGTCCCTGCCGGTCACCCTCCTCCTGGCAGCCATTTAGGCGCTCTGCCACCACGTCCTGGACAAACCTCATCCCTCCGGCCCCCTCCAGCTCCCTCCTGCTCAGGTGCAGGTGCTGTAGGTCCAGACCCTCCTGCGGGTCAGGGAGGCTGCCAGGCAGCTGGTCAGAGGTGAGGCCACACCCCCGTGGGGACCTGGAGGCCCAYGTTTGCCAGGTGCTCCCTGTCAGCAGCAGCCCGAGGGGCGCAAGGAGGTCCCTGCAGACGCTGCCCACCCTGCTCTCCCTCCCTCAGGGGACAGCCCGCTCCTGGAGGAGGAGGCACACTGCCCACCGTCCCCAGCTCTGCAGAGTCGGCCACACAGAGGAGGATGGGGAGTGGAGGAGCAGGCAGCTCAGTGACCCTACTGCCCACCAGAGTCCGCTCACAGGCCCACCCCGGCCCGTGCCTCCCACGGGGCCCACAGCCATCCCAGCAACCTCCAGGGGCCCCCAGGACACACTAACGATGCCCGAGTCCTGCTGCTGGGGGGACGGCGCCCCACAGGTGAGGGCTGCTGACCTACAGCAGCTGGCCCCCAGGCAGCGCTAGCACCCAGGGCCAGAGCAGGACGCCTGGCCTTCCGGCCCTCAAGGGGAGGCTTCAGAGCCAGCCCCTTGTCTCGTGGTCGGGACACCAGGAGGGACCTAGGGACACTTGATGCAGGGTGCAGAAAGCCGAACACACCTGCTCCCCGTGAGCCRCGAGGGGCCAGGCAGGCCACAGAAGCCAGCTCCACTCTGCAGGGCAGCAGGACTGGGAAGGGCGGAGCCTCCCGGGGAGGCGGAGGGGAGAGGCAGCTGCAGCCTCAAACAGCCTGGGGTGCACGAGGCTGGAACCCCCACAAGGGAGGTGGGGGTAGAGAAGTATTCGAAAAGATAAGAATCTTTCCAAAACAACAAGAAGCCTCCACAGATATGAAACATCCAGAGAACCACAAGCAAGACAGCTGATCAAAATCAAAATCAAACCAACAAGAGTCACATTCAAAGCACGAAGACCAGAGGTCCGGAGGAGATGTCTGCCACCAGGGAGGCACTGCAGCCCCAGCATCCCCAGGGCCCCCAGGGCCCAAGCACCTGGGCGCCAGGGCAAGGGGCATCTGGGCAGCGTGGAGCTGCGAGCAGAGAGCTCTGAGGACAGGTCCTCTGCAGGTGACGGAGGAGACAGGGAGGAGAAGGGAGGGGGGAGGAGTCCAGAGACCAGAGACACCGCGCGCTGTGGGGCCAGGGGCTGGCAAGCATGGAGGGGGCCAGATCAGGGGGGCTGGCCAAAGACCAAGCCAAGGCAGCACAGGGCCAGGGAGAGGCCAGGCAAGGAGAGGCCAGCCAGCTGTTTCCAGAAGGTCGTGCTGGCCACGGGCTAGAGAGGAACCGGGGGTCCAGGAGGAGGGCGCTGAGGAACTGAGGGGAGGGGCAGCCGGGGCGGCAGAGCTGCGGTCCCCAGATCTGCACTCCCTAAAAAAAGACCGGGGAGCCCAGGAAGGGAGGCCAGGAAGGGAGCCCAGGAAGGGAGGGCGGGGAGYGGCCACTGTCTGGGAGGAATGACGGGTGGGGAGCCAGCACCAGGCCCTGGAGCGCAGACAGGGGCCCGGGGTCTCTCCCAGAGACAACAGGGCCACAGGATGCTGCCCGAGGCCCTACCCTTCCCTCTGGAACCCGTGAGCTCTCCGGACTTTGACTCCGCAGCCCATCCAGCAATGGGGAGAAACCTCCAGGGGCCCAGAGATCTGGTCACTGCTCCCCCCCAGCGCAGGCTCCCCACTGTGTGAAGCTGGGATGGGGAAGGTACGCTGGGAGGGCAGGGGAGAGGGCAGGAGCAGCGGCATCTCCCACGGCAGCAGGCTCCTCGCCACAGCACACCCTGCGACCTGGTGCCACGCTGAAAGGCCTGACCAGGACCTCAGAGGGAGCCTCCACCGGAGACCTACTGGGGGCCAGGGGAGGCCCTCAGCCTCTGCTTGGCTTCCTAATCCATGGAGGTGTGAGGCGACTCCTCCAGGAGAGCCAGCCACGCCTCCGCCTCGGCCTGTGCCTCTCCATGCCCACTCAGCTGCCCACGCCAGCTGGCCCGTGGCCCTCACCCGGGCTTCACTTTTATGTCAGGGAAAAGGAAACAGTCACAGGGTGCATCTGCGCTGGGGACAGTGCAGGTGGGGAGTGGGCGGGGCCTGGGCAGCCCCGCCCACCCAGCCTCCCCCGGCCCACAGCGCCCCCTGGTGAGCCTCCCCGGCAGGGGAAYAGGAGTGAGCCGCTGTCCGGCCTGGGCCCAGCAGGGAGCCTCCGGGCTCCTGACCCAGTMGGGAAGGTGGAGACTCAGTGACCCCGTGGACTGCAGACCCCCACTCCGCAGGGGCAACAGGCCCAGAGAAGGCCAGGGGCCCACCACGGCCACACAGCGGCCAGGCAAGGCCAGGACTCCGCCAGCAGCAGTGCTCCTCTCCCGTCACTGGAGAACAGCCCTCCAGGACCAGGGGAGGTGACGCCAGCGAGCTAGCCGCCCGCTGAACCAGGAGCTCATTCTAGACCCTGKACGCACCACCACGAGGACCAGGAAGCCCCAGAGCAACCTGCTGGCGAGATGACGGCAGTGACGACCACAGCCAGCAGCCTACGATGGCAAGGGACTCCCAGACACGAGCGGACACGACACCGCGGCAATCCTGGGCCGTGAACAGGGGGTGACCTCCCTGAGGCTCTGGGCTGCCAGGCTAGGTCAGTTTCACCTGGACATCATCCTCGGGCTGCCCAAGGTGGGAGGCGCCAGCCACAGGGCCACCTGAAGGGGTCAGCTCAGTCTGATTGTGAATCAAACAGCCACCTGTGGCTAGCGGCACCTGGGTGGCCAACCGTCCCCACTGTCACCTGAGCCACCCAGTCAGAAACACACTCTTGCCAGTGCTGTCACCRAGGGGAAGGCCTGGTCAGGAGGCAGAGGCCAGCACCTGGTGACCACAGCCTTCTCCATAGAAGCCCTTCTTGAGAATGCCACTGATCCCCTGGGGAGCTGGGGACCCAGGAAAGGACTCTGCAGGGCCTGGGCCCTGACCACCTGGGAGCTAGGGTCTCCTAGACTCGGGCGCTGGAAACCGGGGTGCCCACCCCCTGGGAAGGGGCAGCTGGTCCCGGCTACCTGCCCCGATCCTAGCGCCAACTGGGTCCCACTCCCCCGGCAGTGTGTGCCAAGGGTGGCCAACAGTGCATCTGGCATGGTGGGCACAGAGGACAGCAAGCGGCCACTGACGGCTGCGGGGGTGAGTGACCACTCGGAGCCCTCCACCCCCGCAGGCCTGCCCCAGTGGCCACCAGGGGTCAGGAGACAGAGGCTCCCCCTGGTACGCCACAGCGCAAGGTCCTGGCACTGGCTCAGGGCCACCCACGGGTGAGCAGCAAYGCTGGGCTGAACCCAGGATGCGCGGGCAAAGCAGGTCAATGCGGGATCGGTGCCCCGTGGTCAGGAGGGGGAAGAGGGCAGGGGAGGGGAGGACGTGGCAAGGACATACGAACAGGCACCGAAGTCCACCTGAGAGGGCTCAGCACTGACGAAAACCTCCAACGCCTCAACGCCCCGAGACCCCCAGGGTCAATCACACTTGAGAGAAGGCCACCCCCAGGGCCAGTGCCCTAGGGCCTCCACGACTGTCCAAAGGCACTGACCCTGGCAGGGGAGAAGCTGCCACGGACCGGGAGACCTGGACAGAGCTCGCCTCTGTCCCTTGGCGGCTGTGTGACTCTGAGCCAGCCTCCACGGAGGTCCTAAAATCAAGGTAGAGGCCCCCGGCAGACTGCCCCGGCCTCACCCAGCACTCAGACCTGCACCCTTCCCCCAGGGTCTAGGCCCCGCGGTAAGAGCCAGCGCCTGCTGAGGACGACTGCTGAGGCCCCTGAGCTGGCACCGCCTCCGCCCCGAACATGTGAAGGGTGACTCTGAGTGAGAGCACCCAAAAACTCCGGCTCCTCGCTAGCACCCAGACCTGGCCCCAAGCTGCCCTGCTGCTCCACTGGCCACAGGGAGGGCGTCCCTGGTCCTCTGCCGGGTGCACCTCGTGCTTGCTCAGTGCACGTCACCAGCTCTATGCACACACAGCAGGACGGGGGTATGACACCGTCCCTGGACTCGAGGCCGGCGTGACCCCCTCTCCTGAGGGCTTTTCCCTGATGCCACCGGCCACAAGAGGTGGTGGAAAGGAGCTGGGCGGGACAGAGCGGGGCGTGGGGACAGGTCAGGGAGCAGAGCCAGCACAGTCCTGCGCAGGCGGCTCTTCCTCCCAGGGGGGTCCCAGGCCCGTGAGCTGGGCTCCGAGGGTCACTCACCCCCGCAGCCTCCAACTCCACCTGTGAAATGGGGCCCCACTGGGACAGACCCCTGAGATGATGGCACCAGGGCTTTGAAGCTACGGAGCTGAGCTGCCTGGTGGCCGGTGTCACCCCTGGCTGACCCAGGTCAGGGTGCAGGGAGCCGCGGGCCGGGGAGGGGGCCCGGGGCTGCAGACAGCTGCTGCCCACTCAAGACGGGGCTCTCTGGTGCAGCATGAAGGGACCTCGCGCGGGGCCTGCAGGCCTCACCTAGGGACAGAGAAGGCGGGCTCCCCTCCTGGCTGGAGTCTCCGATGTGCTTCTGTGTGACCCCGGTCATCTGTCCTCCTCAGGAACCCAGGAAGCCCCCAGCAGAGCCCGCCAGGCCCCAGCGCAGGGTCCTTGGAGTGCAGGGCTCCGWGGGCACGGACACCCAGTCACAGGGCCTGCCCTGCCCCAGGGGCTGCTCCGCAGCCCCCCCTCCTCCCCCCACGGAACAGGTAAGGCAGGACCATGGTGCCCACCAGCAACCCAGGATCCTAGGACTCCCGATGCCAAGGACACCGCCACTTGGTCCCAGGCAGATCCTGTCCCAAGCCAACGCGAGACTGTTCTTAACCCTCCCCGCAGGACTTCAGGTGGACTCACCCACCCGCAAAGCAAAACTGCTGCAGCCCAGCCCACCCCCGGGGCCAGCCCACCCAGCCCTACACACCTGCTCCCAAGGGCCACACCCTCCCCCACGGGGACCCAAGGTTGGAGTGGAAGCGCTGGGCGGGCGGTGGAGGCCTGCCCCTGGCCACAGCAAGCTGCCGGTGCCCATCTCTGTCCATTTCCTCTTCCCAAGAAGGGCCAGGAGGGCCTGCAGGCTGTGGTCAGGCCGAGGGAACAGGGACACTCTGCCACCTGACTGCCGGGGGCCCTCGGAGCCCCGGCCACCAGCCCTCCACCGAAAGGCCCCTCCTGGCCTTCCCAGTGGAGCCTGGGGCGCCCGCCACGGCAGGACGCCAAGACCCCAGCTCGCCCAGCTCCTGGTCCCAGGCAACCCCCAGGCCCGCCACCGGCTAAACCACACAGTGGCCCCGACTCAGACGTCTCCCCCAAACAGTGACAGCAAGGGAACCCCGGGGGTCCCCCTCTTCCCCACTCCAGCGGCCCTAGGCAAGCACCTCTTCCGCAGGCCCGGAGGCCCCCAGCCTGGCTCTCCGGCCGGCGTCTGCCACGCACAGCTGTGTGACCTTGCACAAGCCACCTCCCCTCTCTGAGCCTCAGTGCCCAGATTGAAAAGGTGGGGGTGACCGTCTCCGCCCTCCAGACTGCTCGTGTCCACATGGGTTAACGCTGGGAACGTGACTGCCCCGGGTCCTGCGTGGGCGATGCAGGCGGTCCTGCAGCAAGGGGACGCGAGGGGCACACTCCGGACACGGCTGGCCCCATCCCCCAGTGGGGCCCAGGCTGCCAAGGAGCCCGCGTCACCCGCCTCCCCAGATGGCCACCGACACTCCRGAGACTCCGCGCTCATCCCAGGCCGGCTGGATCCGGGACCAGAGAGGTTGGGTGACCCGCCCAAGGTCACACAGCCGAGCAGGAACCGGGCGGGAAGGGGCATGGGTGGCGGCGCCGCACGGGGCTGGGTGGCGGACGCGCCGTCCAGCGGTCCCCGCCCGCCCCGGCCCCGCGGCCCTCACCCGACTTGGGGTAGGTGACGATCCACACGTCGCTGGGCCGCACCGGGAAGTTGGCGATCTCCTCCATCTTCCCGCGGCAGAAGGGCGGCAGCCGCACGCCGTGGAACTCGAAGTACTTGCTCTCGAACTCCCCCGGGGTGCTGGGGGTCTCGGCCTCGCTCTCCGCCATGCCGCCGCCGCCCGCGCCCCGCCCGCGCCCGCGCGCCYGCCGCCCGCGCCGCAGCGTGACGTCACGGCGCCGCCGCGCGGGCCGCTCCGCGGGCATGACGTCATGGCCGCGCCCGACGCACGGCGCCACTCGCCGGCGTGACGTCACGGCGCCGCCGCGCGCCCACCGCCCCGGCGCCCGCACGCTCGGCGGCCCGCGGAGCGCGGAGTGCGGCCGCGCGCACCTGCCCGGCTCCCGGAGCTGCGTCCGCGGGCGGGCGGGGGTCGCCGGGCGGTGACACGGCGACGGCGCGGTGCGGGTGCCAGCCCGCAGCCCACAGCTCGTGCGTGAGGCGCCTACTGTGTGCCGAGATGAAGGCAGCCCTGGTCCCGACGCTGAGGCTCGGCCTCCTCGGGGAGAGGAGGATGTTCATGGTGCCCAGGTGCCGCCGCTGGGCGCCGGGACAGTCCACGCTGCAGGTGCGCCAGGCCCGGCTCGGCTCGGCTCGGTGGCCCGCGGTGTGTCGCCCTGCGCCGCGGACTTGGGGAAGGACGTGGAGAGCCACTGGCCTCGTGGCAGAGGGCCTCTGGTTCAGGCTAGAGGGACGCTCTGCGCAAGTGAGTGCCCTGGTGCTGCAGAGCCGGCCTGGGCGAGCCGGGGGAGGCAGGGAGACCCCCAGGGTATGGGTGGGAACTAGAGGTGTCAGCGTGAAGTCGAGAATTTTAAAAAAATGTGTTCCCCAGCTTTGCTGGAAAGACCTCAGGTGGTGACATGACGGCACTCCTCTGGAGCCACGGTCGGGTCATTTCTGAGGAACCCCCCACCCAGAGGAGCCAAGGGTTTTTGGAGAAAGGCCAGTTCCAGGGCTGGGCCAGGAGAGTACAAGATGAGCCTACCACGTCTTGCTGACCTAGAAGAGAAGTCAGTGTTCAGAATGATAGGAGTTGGTCAAAGTTCACAGGACACAGATGAAAGAGCTCCTGCAGGCCAATTCGGGGACCGTTGAGCAGGCTGGACAAAAGTGGGGACAACTGAAATTTCCTTCAGGAGTAGAATGGTAACTTGTGGTCCGGTGCAGTCCTACAGCGGAGGACTGGCCCCAGGGCAAAAGAGAAGAATTCCTTGGTATATGAGACAACAGGCACATCTCACAGTCAAATGACAAATAAACCCGCCACAAAAGACATGTGTTGTAGGATTTGACTTATGTGCAGTTCAAGGACAAGCAAGACCATCGATAGTGACAGAGGTCAGAATAGTACTTACTCGGGACCCCAGGGGACCCTCCAGAGAGGAGGAAACACCCTCTGTTGTTACCTGACAGTACAGACAGAAGGACAGACATGGACATGGGTGCAGGCCCACTTCATGGGTGTGCACAGGGTCCAGTGCTCAGAAGGGCCCCACACTTGAGTGAGTTCCCGATGCCCACTCTTCTGTCCTCTAAGAGTTCCAGCCTCCCTCAGCCTCTGCCCCACCCCCACCCAAAGACTATCAGGATCTGGGCACAGCCAGGAAGAGGGTCAGGTTGGACACTCATGTCAATGTCATAAAGACCCCCCCACACACACAMAAAAAAAAAGGACTGAAAGAACTGTTCTTTTAGATAAAGGAGATGAGAGAGATTTGATGACTAAACACARCACGGGATTCTGGATTGAACTCTGCATCATTAAAGAAAGCCAGAGAAGACGTCACTGAGACAATCTGCAATGTTTGAAGGTGGACCATATTGGACGATAATGTGGTAGTGACTGTGAGTTTCCTGAATTTGAGAACGGTACTGTGATTGTGTGAAGGAACCTGCTTTGGTTCATATGGCTCACGCTGAGGCATTCGAGGGTGAAGAACTATGTCTGCAACTTGTTTTCAGATGATTTTACCAAAAACACCACACAGCATAACACTACCGCAAACGCACAGTCTGTACCCACCAGGGGAGAAAACGTGGCAGAGGCCACGGTAGGTGCGTGTAGGTGACGGTGCATGCTTATTCGTTTCCATTGCTGCCGTGACAGAGGGTCACAGGCTCAGGCCTACAGGTCGCTGGACTGAAATGAAGGAGGGGACCAAGCTGTGTCCCTTTCCAGAGCCTCCAGCTCTGGGAAATCTATGTCCCCACTTTCTCCAGCCCTACTATTTGCTTTTGGCTCTTTCTAGAGGGACCCATGACCTTCAGCTCATGGTCCTGGTCCATCTTCAGACGCAGCGTGGCGAGGGAACCCTTCCTCACAACGTATCCCTCTGACATGGACTCTTCTGCCTCCTCCTTCCACTTTTACGGACCCTTTGATTACAYTGGAAAAATCACAGTAATCCCCGTTTCAAGGTCAGCTGATTAGAACCTTAGTTTCCCTCTGACATATAACATAGTCACAGGTTCTGGGGATCAAACATGGACATCTTGCTGGGCGCAATGGGACGTGCCTGTGATCCCAGCCACTCCGGAGGGAGGCTGCAGCAAGAGGATCACAAGCTTGAGGCCCGCCTGGGCAACTTAGTGAGACCCTATCTCAAAATTTAAAGTGCTGTGGATGTAGCTTGGTGGTAGAGCACCCTGGGTTTAATCCAAAAAACCAAAAAATAAGTGGACATTTTGGAGAGTCATGATCCTACCACCACAATTGTAGCAAGCTTTTCAATAAGTTCATTTTTCCCCCCCAGAAGAAAAAACTCGTAAATCTGCAAAAAGGCCACTAAAGCCTGTGAGTTTAGCAAGCTGGTAGGATACAAAGGCYAAGAAACAAACAGAAAGAGACAATTGGAAGTTAAATTTTTCAATGGCATCAAAAAAAAACAAAAACAGGAAGTACTTAGAACAAATCTAAGAGAATCTAAGCAAGGTTTTATACCATAAGCTACAACACATTGATGAGAGAAATTAAACGGGGGTGTACCAGGATTGTGGACTTGGAGCCCCAACATTGTTAGGAAGCCCCTCCCCTGAGCAGCAGTCAGAGGCAGAACAACCCCAGCCCAAAACCTCACTGGACCCAGAAATTGATGGGCTGGTTCTAAGATTTGGAAATGCAAAGAGCCTAGAAGACTCAAAAGAATTCTAAGAACAGAAGTTGGAGGGTTCGAACCTCCTGATTTTAAGGCTCATTCAAAAGCTCCTTAGCTTACAGCTGTAAATAGGGACTGTGTGGCATCCGCATCCCATAGAAATGCAGGTAAGTGGAGTCCATCAGCAGTCCCGGGAATAGAAGCAAGCCCAAGGTCAAGCGCTCTCTTAAAAGAAACCCCCAAAGAGCAGAATGAAAAAGGTCCACCAGCGCCGGCTTCCATTTCAGACACCTGTCCCCAGGTGTGGGAGAGCCTACAAGGTCCTTGGTCTCGCGGTCTCCGAGGCCGGCCAGAGACTGGCCCGCAGGTCGCTGTCCGAGGTGCTGAACGCTCGCGGCCGCGGCTGATCTCCTGCCCTCCCATAGGCCCTGGGTAAACTCACTCTGGGAACCCTGGGTTTGTCTACATTCTGTCTTGAGGCACATTCTCCTGTTTGTGTGCACTGTTAAGTTTTTTAAGGTTAATTACTTGTTGGTTATGAAAATGTCAAACATACACAAAACCAGAATGGTGTCATGACTCACCTGTCCCCATCACCCTATGCCCACAATCATCCAGCCCTGTTACATCCCCGTCCACCCCTAAACACACGCACAGTATCCTGAAACTAACCAGATGTGTCTTATCATGTAACTCATAAATGCCTGGTTGATGGGTCACTAAGAGACAAGAACTCCAACCACATTCCCCGGGGCCGACCACTGGAAGGCAGCGGTGCCCTTTAACCTGGCTGAACACCAGCTGCTGTCGTGATCCCATCTGCAGTTGGGATKCGAGTCCTGGGGGCTGAGACACTGCTGGGGGGCCTAATCCAGCCATGGCAGTGCGAGGACAGAGGTCACCCCAACTGCAGCCCTGTTGCTACAGAGGACATTGTGCAAGTCTGGAACCCAAGACGCTGACTCAGGTGGCCACACCCCCGTGGTGGCCCCTGAAACCACTAGTGTCCAGGGACTACAGGATTCAGGCACACGCCCGCCAGGGCAGGTCTAGGTGAAGACTAATTGCATCAGAATCGCTGTAGAAGAACCTGAGCATGTTCCTGCCCAGCATTCCACTGTCCCGACAGGGCACAGCCACAGCTGGCCTGGCTGCACTGCCGCTCTCGCCTCTGGCTGGCTGTGTGGCCCACAGTTCTCTAACCCCAGACTCCTCCTCGTTTGAGATTACACCGGGTTACCCCAATCTACTGTGCACCTGCAGTCCCCCCAGGAATGGTTTTCCTGCCAGCCCAGTTCTAGCGTCCATGAAGAGCGAGGCCAGAGGCCAGCTCCTGAAGTCCTCTCTCCCCCTCTTGGCACAGGGACATTGATCAACTGTGTTGGGGCTCGGGTGTGGCTGGAGGTGCCTCAGAAAGCAGCTCATCTTAAAAACAAGGGGCTGATCAAGGAGGGACTTGCTCAGTGCCTCGGAGCAGGTCGCAGTGCAGCTGTGGTGGCCTGGGAGCTTCCTGCTGCCCGAGCACAGACTTGGTGCTGCCAGCCTGCCCCCTTTCCTCCTGAACGTGGTCTCCCTCCCGGGAGAAGCGGTGCCAACCTCCCAGGCTTGCTCTGAGAATCAAGAGGCTGCTGGGCTCCCAGGCTTGAGGGGTGTCCCCTTGGGGTGGGGTTCCCTGTTGCCTCCACGGAGGCGGCAAAGGAGCAGGGGCGCCCTGGGGCAGGCGTCTGCCTGGGTGTCAGGAGACATCCACCAGGTGGCCCTCATCTTCAGCACTCAGCCTGGCAGGGAGGCTGGACGCCAGTCCGGGAGGTGGCCCAGGACTGGAAGCCACAGCTGCCTGCAGGCCACAGAGGCCCCTGGTGGGCTAGTGGGGAAGAGGGAGGCCATGACCTCGGCACACCTGCAGGAGGCCACGGCTCGGGGCCAGAGGGGGCTCCAGCACCCACAGACGGGTCCCTCACAGCYCCCTGCACCTCATCCAGCACCACCCCCCCAGGCTGCTGTGAGGCTCAGGGGAAGCGGGGGCCGTGCCTCCATGTC